ATATTTTTCAGGGCCAAAAAATCGTCTTATACGCCAGCAAATACGGTAATCAGTTAACAGATTGTAGGCCAGAGTAATATATCAGTTGCCTTAATTTCTCTCTCTTCCACCATGCTTCCTCACTCCCTTCCTTCCTTCTTTTCTTCCTTACATTTTTCTTTTTTTTTTTGCCTAGTGGTGTTTCTTATCCAAATGTCAGTATGTCTGCAGCCAATGGTTTACCCTCTGGAGTAGGTAATGGAGGTGGCAAGATGAGACGGGAGAGATCACGCTTTGTGACAACTAAACCACTACAGAAGAAGGTAGGGTTATATAGTTAATACTCTTGATGTTCATTAAAGGCTTTTGGCTGCCTTGGTGGTGAGGGGAGATCTGGAGGGGTGGGCTTTGGAGTGACCCAGCACAAGAATAACCCGACACTGAAACAGCCCCTTCAAATTGTGTGTGTGTGTGTGTGTGTGTGTGTGTGTGTGAAACTACCGGGCTTTGAAATCTTAAATCATGTTCACTGTGACAACATAGAAAACCTAATCTAGTGCCTATAATTTAATGGGTATCATCAGAAACATAATTGTAACTGAAACTATTTGACCCTCAGAATATTATTACATAATTAGGTTTTGCCACATTCTGAAGTATCTATAAATGGATTAATATTGTATGGATTCCACTCACTTTCCTTTTTTTTTCATATTATTTATTAAACTTATCAGTGTTGTGAAAGGTAACTTGAGGTTATTAAATTTCACTGTTACAGATTTATCCAGTAGGAAGATTTCCCAAAATCCATTCTGCGGGGTACATTTGAGTCGATTCCTAATACATGCTGAGGTGAATGTCCATGCAGTGCTCTCTGGACACACATGCAGTCTTTTCTTTAGGGTGTTTATCTAGGAACAGGATTAGATTATAGGGCATGGTGCATATCTTCAGATGTATGATGTGTTGCCTCATTGTCTTTCAAGGTAGTTTTACAGTTTAACATTTCTCCATGACCATGGATAGCTCTGCTTTTTCCTTATCCTTACTAGTACTGATTTTGTTTATTTTTAATTTTTTGCCAATGTGATGTCTGTGAAGTCACATGCCATTGGAGTTTTATTTTGCATTTTGTTGTTTACTAGTGAGCGGGACTTTTTTTTAAATAGATTTTTATTGGGGAATTGGGGGGATGGGAACAGCGCTGGGGAATTGGGGGAAGGGGAACAGATAAGTTGCTGTCGTTTTGTTCTTCAGTCTAGTTGTGGAGGACGTTGCTTCACTGGCCCAACTTGGCACCATCATTGCACTCTTCCCGGGCGAGGCAGATCAGTTGCCGGCTTCTGGATGGCTGCTCACGCTGGCTGCTGGCTACATACAGTAGCCCATGGCAACCCACTGCAGCAGGGGCTGCAGCCTACGTAGTCCCAGCGACTCAGGGCAGCCCAGCTCCAGGTTGAGCTGTTGTTTCAGCATCTTAGCTGTAGAGGGCAGTGTCACTGGCCCGCACATGTGGGATCCGAACCGGGGCCCTCTGGCATCCCAAGCCAGTTCATAACCATCACGCCACTCAGCTGGCCTGAGCGGGACTTTTTTATGTGAGTTTCTTCACCATTTGGATTTTCTCTTTCTTCATCCTTTTTATTTCATGGGTTATTTCTTTTATTAGGAAGAGTCCTTTATATATTATGAACATAAAAGTTTGATAAAGAATACAGACTAACTGAAGATTATTTAAATTTAATGTTTCTTTCTATACATTGCTGCATTTGTTTTCTCCCTACTTTGAGTTGAACGCAGGTCTCGTTTCAGTCTTTTTATCAATGAATTTCAACTCAGCTGGGTCATTGAAGTTTTGATTCATAGTGCTTTTATTTGTCATTTTTTTGTAATTTTCATTGTGACTTCTTCATTGACTCATGAGTTGTTTAGGAAAATATTTTTTGCCCTTAAGTAGGAGATCTTGTAATAGTTTTTGTTGACGGTAAAATCACATTTTGATTGAAATTGTGGTGTGTATTAGTATGGATTTTCTTCATATCTATTGGTATTTTCCTTTGTTGGTTTATTTAGAGTTGGATGTCTTTGTTTTTCAGTTTGTCTTTGTCTCCTTTTTCCCTGTTTAGCGCCTTTGTCATTGGGACTCTGACTCACCAGAATCATGACTGGTTTGGCAGTTTGGACTTTCTACCATACGCCTCTCTAGTGATATGTATGTTGGAGGCCTTGGCTCAGTCACTGCTTTTGAGAATCTACTTTTCCCTTAGTCTCTACTTGTTGCTGGGCTGAAGTATAGCAAAGGGAGGGAATGTATGTATCAATGTATTCTAACATCTTGACAAATGTCTTGAATGCTATTGATTATATGTTGTGTAAAATTTTGTAGTTTTCTTAGCAAATCGTTTTTCTTTTGTCATTAAATCTCTTTTTGTAGACATGTTTACATTTATGAAATGGCTTATTTATCTTGTCTTGTTTACATAAGGAAACTAGTATCGATGAATGTAGCATGAGCTTGTTCTTCAGATGAGTTTTTCTATTTGTCCCTAAAATTGGTGACCCTACCTCCTTAAAGTTTACCTTTGTATGAGAAAAATATTAGCTTCGTTTGGTGTTTGCCTAATGATAGATTTGTAAATTTTGCCTATTTCTTTTCATGTTCAATTTTTAAAAATATACGTCCTGAGATCTTTAGCTGCATCTCAGGTTGAAACCTGTAGCTCAGTTTTAGCCATTTTGCAGATTTGTGTTTAGTCTCAATTTGCTGAATTGAGACATTTTGGGGGTGGTGGTGGTTAAACGTTTCTTGATTATTTTGCTCTTACTACCTGGTCACTAACTGTTAGGAGCTTTATGACCTAATCCCTCAGACCTCTTTATTACCTCCTCTGTTATCTGGGTCCCCTTTCTCCCTCTGTAAGGTTTGAGTGTTAGTCAATAAACATTGTCATTTTGTCTCTACTGTGATATCATATCGTTTTTTTAATGAAAATGTTCATTGATACAGAATAGGTAAGCAGCATATGATAAGACTGGGTTTCCAGAGATTCAATGCTTGATTTATCGTGTCAGGTACAGACCTGCCACTTAGTGGCCTGAGTGACATTGGTAAAAATAACCTCTTTTGACATCAACTTCCTTCTCTTTAAACTGGAGATGTGAATACTAACTATATATATTTAGCTTATGTCTGTAGGATGTCTGCTATTTAATAGCTATGTGATATTAGGCCATATGTCTTTATCCACAGCAAAAGTGTCTACCTCATGTGAGATAACCCAAGCAAAGGTATTATAAAGTTAACATATAGTAAGTCCCATCCATATATGATGGTGGTTGTGTTCAACTTGAGGTGTCTGTAACAATCTGATTACAGTTCTTGGCTTTCTTTTTGCCAGATTTGTGGGACCCACTTCCAATCAACCAAGTCAAAATTTTGGTAACTAAGAATCAAATTTAGAATTGATTCAAGGTCAATATATAAAGAAGCAGTATGTCTGAGCTTAAGGAGATGGTGTGAGAACTATGTTATTCAGCTGATATGTCCAGGTGTTATAAGGGTCTAAAGGGAAGAAAATAAAGCTAGGGTTTGCAGATGGGAAGAAACATCCCTACAGAAATTTCAAAATGTGTCTTTTGTTTTTCTTCTCCTCCCCGCCCCAGATTTGATTATAAGTTTCACACAGAAGAAATGTTGAAAGGACTGTGTAGTGAACACACATATTGCCAGCACTAAGATTCTAATCTTTTGTTGTATTTGCTTTATCAAATAAATATCCATCCTATTATGTTTTGGGCGCATTGCAAACTAAATTAATACATGAATATACTTCATCCCCAAATACTTCAGCATGCAGTCCTTAAACTAGAGTTAAATGTGCATTGTTTTTCAATTTATCACGAATTTACATGTAGTGAAGTGTAAAATTATTAGGTGTACCATTGAATGAATTGGACAGGTGTTTACACCCGTGTAACCCAAAGCCTGCCGAGGTGTGGAACATTTCCAGTCAAGCAGAAAATTCACTCATGCTCCTTCTCAATCAGTACTCACTGTCTCCTGCCCCAGGGCAATCATTATTCTCATTTTTCCCACCATCTATTGATTTTGCTTGTTCTAAACGTTCATATCAGTAGTTACTCAGTATGTAGTGTTTTCTGCCCGGCTCTTATGAAAAGCTGCTATCAACATTCTTGTTCCCTTTTGTAGATATATGTTTATTTTTCTTGGGTAAATACCTACAAGTGGAGGTGTGAGTAATAGTTTCAAGTTCCACCAAGAGTGTGTGAACCTTTCTGTCACTCTGCATCCTTACCAGTAGTTGGTTGTCCTTTTTTAAATTGTAGCCATTCTGCTTTGTATGCTGGTGTGTCATTGTAATTTTAATGTGCATTTCCCTGATGACTAGTAATGTGTTCTTGTGTATATGCTTCTTGGCCACAAATATGTCTTCCTTTGTGAGGTCTCTCTTCAGAACATTTGCCCTTTGAAAATTTGGATAGTCTTTTTATGATAGAGTTATAGTTGTTGTTTATAAATTCTGAACACAAGTACTTTGTCTGATACAGGCCTTACAAATATTTTTCTTCTAGTTTGGCCTGCCTTTCATTTCATTATGTTATCTTCTGATTAGCAGATATTCTAAATTTTAAAGTCTGAATTTTATGGGGTTTTTTCCCCAGTATTTTTACTGTTCTTTGTGTCCTAAGAAACCTTTGCCTCTTCTCAGGCTGCAAAGAAATTCTTCTGTGTCCTCTTCTAGAAGATTTTAGTAGTGGTTTTATGTTTTCTCTAATTTCCTTTTTGATTTCTCATGTAATCTGTGTATCATTGTAATCCCTGTTTAATCATGATTTTAATGTTTTAAAACGCATTGAGACTTGTTTTATAGCCCAGTGTATGGTGTGCCTGATGAATTTGGAGAAGGTATATTCTGTAGTTGTTGGGTATAGTGGCCTCTAGAAGTCAGATAGATGATTGATAGTATTTCTTACATCTTCTTTGTTCTTGCTGAATGTTTTTGTTTGTTTGTTTGTTTGTTTTAATGGGTGGTGTCTGGTTAGTCTTTTAAAACTGTTGAGAGATAGGAGTTAATATTGTCAACTTTCCATTTGGTGAATTTGTCTTTTCCCCTTAATTATGTCAATTTTTGCTTTGCATACTTTGAGGCCCTCTTGACACTCTGCACCTTACATCTATTATGGCTCCTCAGTGATGTGCCCCTGTTAGTATTACTAAATGTGTTTTTTTTTTAATCTTTTGAAATATTTCTTTGTCTTGAAACCTACTTCATCTGGTATTCATATAGCCTGCATTTTATTA